CCGTCAGCTTTGGCTTGAAGTGTTCAGCTTTCTCTCGCAACCTGAGTTGTGCGTGTGCATGCGCGTATGTCGTACATGGAACCGCTGGTGCATGGATCGACGGCTCTGGTCAGTTATTGACCTATCAGAGAAAAAAGTCGTCAGCGCTGCTGCTCTCAAGGGAATTGTTCGACGTCAGCCGACCACGCTGAACCTTAGCTGGACAAACGTTACATTTCAACAACTGAAGTGGCTGCTGAACCGCCTGCCGAGAATCCGGGAGCTTTATCTAAGTGGCACGACAGAAGCCACAGTTTATGCTCTCTCGTCTGTTGTCTGCCCTCGGCTCAAAGTCCTTGGACTAAGCTGGTCCGTGGGAATCACTGACTCGTTGTTGAAGGAAATCATCTTGCCTGTTTCTGACTCCCGCGCAGGTTCCGTGGAGAGCAAAAGCTCGTTTTACAGGCTAACTACTTTATTTCTTTCCGGATGTGACGTGACCGGCTCGTCTCTACGTCTTTTGGTTCAGCATTGCCCGGATTTGCGCAAGCTTGATTTAAGCCTCTGCCCTGGAATAACTGATCAAGACATTGAAAGTGTCTGTGGCCAGGCTTTGATCAATGAGTTCCTTCTTAGTGGTTGTGCAAGTCTCACTGATAAATGTTTGTCTTTTTTGAAGCTTTTTCCTTCCATTGCACGCCTCGACCTTCGTTCCTGCACTGGCGTTTCGACTGATGCTTTGCAAGAATTTGTTAAAAACTCCAAGGATGACCTCAAAATAATGGATAAAAAACTTATTGTAATTAAGTAACTTTAGCTGTTAGGCCAGCTAATTTCTCTTACACTATAGACTATCAAAACAAATAGTTTTATCTCGTTTACCTATCCAACACTCCTTCTCTAACTCTCTTACGTCTGTCATTGTTTCTACTCCCCTCGTTTACTAAGTTTTATTTTTTGATTTTCAACCGCTTTACTCGTACAAGAGAGAATGCCTTTTTGCTGTTAAGAATGCTTTAAAGCACAATCCAAAAAACAACCAAAATGTCATGTGAAAAACGTGGGAAAAAAAGATTGAACCTTGTTTAAATGATCTTAATTTCTAATCGAGTTTTTATTTATGACGACACTGAACAGTTTTTCCACTGATGGAGATGAGATGTTCTAATTACAGTACATTTTATGCTGCCTTGATACCAGTTCCTGATTTGCCATTTCATTTTTAGTAACAGCTGAAATACGACTTTTCATTAGTGGTTAGTCCTTTCTAAGGCTGACAGATTCACGGTCTCATAATTTCTCCTACTCCACGCTTCAACAAACTTAGTTTTGCTGATTCACGACATTCTTCTTCATAAACGCCCAAACGTTTGGCCAAATACGAAAATTTTATACCAATACCTATGCTTTTATATGCAATCAGCCACATTACGTGGCTTCAGGCATGATAAATTGAATGATATCAATGATTCCAAGCCACTATGACCGAATCAGTAAGGTACTATGTACCTCGTGTGGGTTCGGTGTGGCCGAAAAACATTTACGGCCAAGTTGTGACCAGTTGCATGTTTAGACAGTCTCTTTTCACATTTTGTCTCTTCGAAACCTTATACAACTGGCCTTACACGTACATTTGATCTGTAGGCTGGGCTAATGCAAGAAAAAAAATGTGATCTAAGTTGTCGTTACTATAAAATAGTACCATCTTTGTTATATTCAATCATTCACGTTGTCCCGCTTCTCCATGTGAATTGTTTTTACTCTGACATCTCATTAGACGTTAGTATCCACATATTTGGAGGTCAGAACCACCTTTTATAGTGGAACGTAATCAATCCTTCGAGAAACTACACTACACGG